TCAGGGGTTAAAATTTCGAGTCCAGACCTACTAGCCGGTCACAAAACTTACTCTCCACCAGTTGCCCCACCCAACCTTGCCCAGGACCACCCCCCAAACCCGACCCTGGCCCTCCTCCCCAAACCCCACCCACGGCCCTCCCCCCAACCCTGCCCCCAGCCATGCTTATGAAATTACATTTTTCTTTAGAATAAAGAGTCCAAAATATAAAACTGTACCCAGTAATGTATATCCCAGCTCCCCTGTACTCCATTATAGTGATATGACATGTATACAGTAATCATTATAATACTCAGTAATGTATATCCCAGCTCCCCTGTACTCCATTATAGTGATATGACATTTATAGAGTATGTTTATCCCAGCTCCCCTGTACTCCATTATAGTGATATGACATGTATACAGTATGTTTATCCCAGCTCCCCTGTACTCCATTATAGTGATATGACATATATACAGTAATGTATATCCCAGCTCCCCTGTACTCCATTATAGTGATATGACATGTATACAGTAATCATTACTGTATACATGTCATATCACTATAATGGAGTACAGGGGAGCTGGGATATACATTACTCAAGGATGCCTTATCTCCCAACATTAGTTCCAATGTTAAAAGGGAGAAATTCTTCAACTTCCACTCAGCTTAGCTTTTTCTAGGAACTCCACAGGGTGTCTCCTTGAAGCAGAGAACCAATCGCCTCATTTGGGGAGGGGGTTGTGTAGGCGGGGAGCTCAGGCTATGACCAAAGCCTTCCCAAATTATACTAAGGCCAATAACTTTTCCTAGGTACATATACCATTCTATCCATGAGTAGATTAATACCCAGAATCATCTGCTGAATGGTTAGATATGAAATATGACGTACCTACTTGAATGGTTAAGGAGATATAATTTTCTGCTCTCCTGTGTATGTCAGATAGGGGGTGTAATATACCAGGCGATTTGTATTAAAGTGAGCCATCCGAATATGTGCTCCATGTTTGTGTAATTATTTCCTATTTGGAGATATAAAATTATATGGAAAACTGGGTTTTAAAATGTAAGTCTGTTTTACGACTCCCTGGAACGTCTTTTGAAGCTTAGTGAGGGCTCGGTTTATGGCTTTACGACCCCCTTCTCCAGCAAGAGTCTCTCAGACAGAGGGGCACCAGCTAGTTGTGGGATTTATAACCATGATGCCCTCCCAATGAGTCTTGGGTCTTCAATGAGTTTGATCTTCATCAAACAGACCACATGTCACTCAACAGAGAGGGAGGGGGGATGAGGAAAGCTGATTTGGGAGTAGAAATGATACAAAATGGAAGATTCTTTACAAGATGGATGACCGTGTCCATCTCGGTGTACATGATTGCTACAAGGGGTTATTAGGGTCTACCTACAGGTCACTTGGTCCTTTCATAAGATGGATCTTTGTTGTTGATGGTTTGTGTAGGGGTTTAGTGGGATCTTCTGCTACCATCTCTCAATTGATAACACATACTAAATGTTAAGCTTATGCCATCGAGCATAACAAGCCACCTTTTCCTATCACTGCTCACTGTTCAACCAGGGCAGCCAATACTTCATGGGCTTTTCACCATTAAGCCTCACAGATGTGTAATGCCATGACCTGGTCTTTAATTCATTTTTCTTTACTAAGGCTGATGGAATCCACCTCTGCCTGGACATTGTATTCTGATAGTGGGACTTTTCCTCTGTCAGAATACACAGATCAGCAGCTGCAGCCACTGTTCAACAAAAGGTTTCCAACTTTCCCATCAGATGTCCTCCAACTTTCGCATTTCAATTAATCTATGGCCAGGTTATGTTTTTTAAAGGAAGATCTGGTTGCATCTGTGGGTGCTAGATTTGGCTTCAAAGTTTTACAGTCAGCAGTGTGAATCACCTTGTGGGGTGAGGGCTCACTGTGTTTTTTTTCTATTTTATTGTTGTTTGTGTATTTTCCCATCCCTCTTGTTGGGTATTGACAGTGGACATCCCACTGGTTCAGATTTGACATGTGCAATTCGTTTCAAATCTGAATTCCCAAATTACAATAGTAACAAATCCAAAATAACATAATGAAATGCTTACCAAATTTGAATTGAATTTGTTTCAAATTTTAATCGAATTTGACTCTAATTCAAATACAAAAAGAATAGAATAGAACATAAAAGAATAGAATATAACAGATTAGAATAGAAAATCACAGCATAAAAAATACAATAGAAGAGAATAGAAAAGAATAGAATAAATAACAATTGCATATAATCTTCTTCCAAAATTAAAAATTTTGCATAGAATAATTCAAATTTGAATATAATAGAAGAAAAAAATAGAATAGAATAAAACACAGTGAATAGAATGAATTAGAAATAGAATAGAAAAGAATCAAATAGATTACACAATAAAATAGAATATAACTGTCATCCAGAATTAGAATTTCGAAAAAAATAAATTTGAGTAGATTAGAATGGAATAGAATAGGATAGAAAATAAGAGAATAGAATAGAAGAAACAAAATAGAATATAACGGTCTTCTGAAATTTGAATTTCTAATTGAATAAATTTGAATGTCAATTTGAATTTTTTTTAATCCATTCAAATTCAAATTGAATCAAATTCGAAAACGGCATGAAACCATTCCGAAAATGAATTAAACAAACTAAACTAAATTATTTAAATAATGAATAGAAACTAAACACATTTTTTCATTCTGCACATGTCTAGTTCAGATTGGTCTTCAATCAAAAGACTGTCTTTTAGTGAAGAATAGATTTTTTTAAAAAAAATCACAATTTATACTATGACCATTGGAGGCCAATCCCCCAGCTCGTATCACTTCGTCTCCAAATGGGAGGAGGACTTGAGATTCACATTGCCATTGACAAAGAATGAGAACAGTTCCATGCCACTATTCATAAGGCTTTATTAATGTTACCACACAAGAACATAACTGCAAAGTGTAGTTTAGGAGATACAGAACTCCCTCTCTTCTACACAAAATCTACTCTAGCCTGTTTAATGGGAGTGGGAACATCTACAACTTTATTGGAGAAACATTCATGACAGTACCTCACAAGTCGCTTCCCACCAGTTAGAATTTGCACCCACGCAATATCCAATTCACTATTCTCCACCTGTAGGACAAGCATATTTAAAATCATTAACAATGTACAGTATATGATTAATGCAGCACGCATGTGCATTCCTCGCTTTGAAGGCAAACTCGTGTCCCCTCACTCAAGGACTGGTCCATCAGGCTGCATAGGATATTGAGGATATGGAGGAACCTGAACACATCTCCCAAGATAGGCAATCAGTATAAAACTTGGGCTTGCTGGATTCATTTTAAAATGACATCAGCCTATGCAGATGTGATGACATCCGGATTAACTGTGGGACCTTATGTCCCTTCTAGTTTAAGCATATGCTCTGAACACACTCTCTAGAATGTTTCTTTTTCAGAGGAAAACTATATTCCGAGACACCACTTTTGCGCCTTGGGTTGGGCTGATGTATGGGGGATGCGGTCTACAGGAGCTTCCCTGTTACTCTACCTCTCTCCTTGTCCCTCCCCCCGCAAACCTGAAATTCCCTTTCCCTCATCTCCTTCTCTTTTCTTTCCCCTTTTCTTCTCCCCACCTTCCCCACCCCATTTGATTTTTATCTTTTTAGTTTTTGGCATTGGTGCCACCCTCCTCTTACCACAGCTGAGACAAACCATTTGAGGAGGACCCAGTTATATTAACTTTTCCAATTCTCATGTGCTATAGAATGAGATGTTTTGAACCATTAGCGCCACCTCACCTTTTCGCATCTCCCTCATATGGTATCTTTGCTGCACGAGAATATTAGTGACTGCAGTCCACTCTCCAGTCATAGATTTCCTGGACGACTTGCTCCAGGTGCATTTCATGACGACAATACCAGCGATGGCTTCAGCTCCTTCCTAAATCCTTCAACACTTGCATCTCACATGTTCTAAATGTCTGCTATTTCAAAATCCTACTTTTTTGTTTGTTTTTCTTGAGATCATGTATCTGAGATGCTAGTGAACAAACCATGCTCACAATAATTATCCTGAATGGCTATCAGCTTTCAGTCGCACATTTGTTTGTTGCTCTCCTCCTACATTCCATATACACTCACCAGCCATTATTAGGTGCACCTTGCTAGTACAGGGTTAGACCCCTTTTTGCCTTCAGAACTGCCTTAATTCTTTGTGGCATAGATTCAACAAGGTGTTGGAAACATCCCTCAGAGATTTTGGTCCATAATGACATGATAGCATCATTGAGTTGCTACAGATTTGTTGGCTGCTCATTCACAATGCAAATCTCTCATCCTGAAGATGCTTTATTGCAGGGCTTAAAATTTCAAGTCCTGAGCTACTAGCCAGGCCTTAAGAGTTACTCGCCACCAGTTGCCCCACCCAACCCCTACCCTGCTACACCCCTAATTCCCCCCTAAACACACCCTCGTAAATTATTTCATGAAATTACACTGTTAAATGTTACCCACATTACATCAGGGTTCCCAGAGTCCCCCCACATTACATCAGGGCCTCCAATGTCTCCCTAAACACTCCATCATACTTAAACCATGCACCGCATACAACCATAACCCCCCATAATCTTTCACTCATAAAATCATAACTCTACCAAGCATATCCTACCTACTATCCAACCCAGCAGTACCTCAAATGCCCCATCCTCTACCACCCATAATAACCACATAATCCTGAACCTGACCAAACCACCCATACATGTAGGTTTACATACAGACACATGTACATACACACACACACAAACAGAGAAACCTGTACACACACATACACACAGACTTCTACATACACATACACACACAGAAACATGTACACACACGCACAGAGACACATGTACACACACGCACATACAGACACATGTATACACACACACAGACATGTACAGACATGCATACATGTACATACACACAGACACATGTACATACACAGAAATACACACACAGACACATGTACATACATACACAGACACATGTACACACAGACACATGTACGTACAAACACACACGCACGCCACACACACACACGTACACGCACATGAACATGCACACAGACACATGTACATGAACACGCTCACAGACACATGTACACACACACATGTACACACACACACATACATATACATACATTCAGACACATGAACAGATACACACATGTACAGACACATAGACACATGTACATGTATACACAGACACACACAAACACACACACAGATACGTGTACATAAACACACACACAAATACACATACAAATACACACACACGCACAGCCCTATAAAAAGTTGCAGTATTTTGTTACCTTCACTCACAGAGCCGGGTACTGCACTCTAGGGGATGGCAGAGAGCACAGCACACACTCCTTCCTTTGCTTTCACTTTGCTGAACTATTGAGCAGTCTGACGGCTCCCAGTGCGAGTGACAGATCCGGCCCTGAGTTCCGAGCCTGCTCAGCAAGACGGCCCTGGGGACACACTCGCCCCACCATAATTTCCACTCGCCATTGGCGAGCAGGCAAGTGGAAATTTCAAGGCCTGCTCTAGTGAATTGAGATCTGATGACTGTGGAGGGCATTGGAGTACAGTGAACTCATTGTGATGTTCAAGAAACCAGTTTGAGATTATTTTAGCTTTGTGACATGGTGCATTATCCTGCTGGAAGTAGCCATCAGTAGATTGGTTCACTGTAGTCATAAAAACGGATGGACATAGCAGCAATACTCAGGTAGGCCGTGGTGTTTTAATAATGCTCAGCTGGTACTAGGGAGCCCCCAAAGCATGCCAAGAAAATATCCCCCACACCATTAGACCTCCACCACCAGCCTGAACCATTGATACAAGGCAGGATGGATCCGTGTCATTTACGCCAAATTCTGACCATATCATCTGAATGTCGCAGTTGAACATGAGACTCATCAGACCAGGCAACAATTTTCCAAACTACTATTATACAGTTTTGGTGAGCCTGTGCAAGCAGTCTCCGTTTCCTGTTCTTAGCTGACAGGAGTGGCACCTGGTGTGGTCTTTTGCTGCTGTAGCTCATCTGCTTCAAGGTTCAAAGTGTTGTGTGTTCAGTGATGGTAATCTACATAACTATATTTAATATGGGTTAGCTGCTAAGGTGAGCGTGCGTGCCTGAAAGTAGAGGAGCACAATTGATTTGCACACCTGTTGGAGTCACTGGTGTATTACTTTGAATGTTGGAAGAAAGAGACTGTTTTATCACTTTTGGACTGCATTTTGCACTTTATTAAGTGCTATCTATTATTCACCAGTCATCTATTTGTTGTAAATATTCAGTAGAGTTGTCTATCTTTTCTTTTATGCACATTTTGTCTAGCCCAGTTGAGCATTCACTTGATTCATCACTGATTTATTCCATTGGTGAGCTGATTGCTTAGCTGGGCATTTGTTTTACAATTATTTATTACTGTTTTTGTTGGTTTTCACTCTTTGTTTCAGCTCAGACGGGTGTGTATTATAGCCCGGCCAGGTTTTTACTGCTACTGTGATTGTGTTTTTATTTTCTGATATACATTTAAGATATTTACTGTATTACTGTCCTTGTTTTTTACACTATATTCTTTCAGCTCAGCTGGGTGTTTATTATCAGTTGGCCAGGTGTTTATTGCTACTTGAATGTGTTTTATTTTTGATATATGTTTCATACATCATTTGGATTTAGTGGCTCAGACAGTTTTCCTATTAACTATTGACTTTATTTGTTTCACAGATCTATTCTTTTACACATTGGGTTTGATGCTCAGAAAGGTGTTTATTTAGTATTTGTTTTTTGGGTCACTAGGGGCAGCACAGCACTTGGGGATTTTTATTGATGCGGGAACACATTTAAGTGCTTGCAGCAGCTTATCATTCATTTGTGGCAGTACACGAGTATCGTATCCTATCCTTATTTTTGTATAGCCTATTCATCTGTCTTCATTGCAGCAGCCATGGAAGTCTTTGGGTTTGTAGAAAATAGGTCTGTAAATTTAGAGGAAGTTTTTGATAAAAAGATGCTAATTTGAATGGTGATATGGAGACTACTTTTAGGAAATTGAGATATTTAATGTAAAAAAAAGGTCATCACTTGGTGGGATGTTGTCACATGAAAGATATTTGAAAGAACATATTGTCCCCAGGAGGTTGAGATGGGATGTCCTGATATGCGATGGATTAGTTTATAAGGAGTCAGTAGAAGAATGGTTGAATTTCTTAATGATAAAGGAACTTCGGTGATCAAATTTTCATTGAAGTGAAAACAAAGAAAGATGAAGAAAATTGAACAATAGATAGTTGAGTTGAAAGACAAACTGGAACCGCATAAAGTACTGGAATTTTTAACCCTTACTAATCAACTAAATAAGGATTTACAAGATACAGATCAAGAGGTTACACAAAGGAAAGGGAGGAAATATCAGAGAGATATTATTGATTACAAAATCAGACAAGTTTTTAAGTGGCAAACTGCTCTGAATGAAACTGAACCAGTCTCTACGAATAAAAAGAAGTTAAGGTGAGAGTCGCAGAAAAAAACACGAGCACCTCTGAATGTGAATAGAGATCTCTCAGTAGGTCATAGGAAGCAGCCTTACTATCCAAACTATAATTATAGAATACAGAAAATGGATGAAAAGCAAGGGGTGGTAACACATTCCCAAGGAACCCACAAAGTGGAGGCCAGCGGAATAATTGGAGACCTCCGCAGAACAGTCGTCCGGTTTATTACCCAAGAAATAAAGAATGGAGTCCTATTCCTAATTATTGGCCATGGAATCGTCAGAGATATGAAGAATGGAGTCTGATCCCCCCTTCTAATAGATCCCCCTTATATTACACACTTTTCTTTAAGATATGACTATAGTTATGATGAAGAATGTTTTAGACATTGGAGGCAAGACAGATCACCGGGAAGACCAGAGAGGGAAGGATGGACACGAAAGTCCAAGTGGAGGAGGGGGGGAGAGCCAGCAGGAAAAAACAAGAGAAAACGAATACTAGAGGAGGTCTTCAACTTTAGTGGGGTTGAATTGAGTAAGGAAGAAATGAAAGTTCTTGACAGGGGTCTTAAGTTTGAAAAAAAAGCTGCCAATAACTTTGATGTTTATGTTGACCTTCAAAAATATTCAAAAACGAAATATATAGAAATGAGTATTAACAAAACCAGAAGAAAGGAATGTGGTTGTGAGGAGTATTCCAACGGAAGTACAACATACATCGATGAGGAATAAATCCTTATTTAATCCACAGGTGAGTGGCATTGTACATATACTGTAGAGGTCTTCAAAAGAATGGTAACTAAGGATTTATACCAACTGAAATTACCGAGATTTAGAGAAAATAAAGAAATTGAGGTAGGCATCAAACGATTAGAAAAAAGAAAAGATATTGTGGTGAGGCCTGCAGATAAAGGTGGGGTAATAGCTGTGCTTTCTAAGGATTACTGTACTATATGGAAGAATTGAAACAATAATTGGATGATACTGATACATATGAACGATTATTGAGTAATCTGACCATAAAATGAAAGAAAGATTTGGACGCTCTAGTGAAAAGAGGTGTGAAGAAGAAAGTATATGACAAAGAATCAAGATATTTGGTCCAAGACTCATGTAGACTATTAGCAATTTATACCTTGCCAAAGATGCATAATGATAAAGAGAAACCACCAGGGTGTCCTATAGTCAACGGGATACAATCAGTTGGAGCGAGGATGGATCAGTATGTTGACCACTTTTTACAACCTCTAGCACAAAAGACTAAGTCATACCTAAGAGACACTAAACATTTGATCCAATTATATCCAAATTAGATCTCAATCTATGATATTGGCCACAGCAGATGTTTCTTCACTCTATATAATCATTGGACATCAGGATGCAATGGAAGCTACAGATTGGGCACTGAGAAAATTGGGAAATTTGCATTATCCCCAGAGGAAATATCTCTTGAAATGTTTAGAATATTGTTTAACACGCATTTCTTTTGGCACCGATATTATAAACAAATTAAAGGAGTAGCTATGGAGTCACCTTTCGCTTCCAATCTAGTCAATCACTTTATGGCTTTCTGGGAAGAAGAGACAGTCTATTCTAATCCAAAGTGCTTCATTGATGATGTGGTGATCTTATGGGAAGGAGATCTGAGAAGCTTGGAAGTCTATTTGATTAGTTTGGATGAGAATGATAGAAATATTCACCTCTCTTGGGAATGTGATCCTTTTAGAATTAATTTCTTGGGTTTAGAGATTGGTTTTAAAGAAGGAAGATTTTCGACTAAAACTTTCTTTAAAACGGTGGATTGCAATGAATATATCCCTTTTGACAGCTGCCACTTGGTGATCTGGATCAAAGGTTATTGATTGAAGATGTGAGAAGAGAACAGTTACCAGAGTAAGTACCAATCATTCTAGATTACAATAGTCACCATAAGCAAATTGAGAAGATCTTTAAGAAACATTGGCCAAAATTAACAGATAGGCATTTGAATGGAATTTTACCTAAATGTCCTAAATTTACATATAGGAGAGCCCCAACCCTGAGAGACAGGATAGCGAAGAATGTGGTGGCTCCTCCCCTGAAAAAACATGTCTCCTCCTTTGATGAAAATGGGTTCTTTCCTTGCAAAAGGTATTATGCTTGTGTTGAGACAAAGAAAAAAAGAGTATGAGAAGGGACACTTTTTTCTCACCTACCACAGGAATTTAATATAAAATCAATGATTTTATCACTTGCAGGACTGAAGCCGTTGTCTATGCCCTCGAGTGTTTTTGTGGCTTACAGTATCTTGGGAAAACTAAGAGACCCCTTTGGAAGAGGTTAAGAGAACACATACAAAACCTCAAGAAAGGTTTTAAGGAACATAGTATTTCTAACCACTTCACTACACATCACAGTAAAGATCCATCCTCCTTGATTTTTTGGGGTTAGAGAAAAATATAAGCTCCACTGGAGGGGGAGTAACAAAATCCATGCTTTGAGTCAAGTGGATATTCAATATGCAAACGTTAGCACCTCTGGGACATAACATCCAGTTTGATCTCAATTGTTTCATCAGTGAGTATCAGGAAAATGTATTACTATTTTTATCCATTACTTTAGTGAGATGTTATTTCTGGTTCTAGTTAATTTCAGGTACATTTTTGGTTGCATTACATATAAGAGCAATTTCTTAGGAGTAGTGCCATTCATTGGCCACTACAGGGATCTGTTATCTCTGGTTTTAGTATTATTTTTTATTATTGCAATTATTCTCTTCATATGTATTTATTTCCTTATATGTGTCAGTTTTTATTTAACCATTTTATGTGGTATTTATCTATATATTTTTAGCTTATATATTTATATATTCTGTTGATTATGTGGCTTAAAGAGGATTGCTGGTCTTCGGTCTTGTATTACATCTTTAACTTTCTTTATATGGATCATCTGAATAACCTTTATTGATTCAGGATGAATTTTGATAATCATAGCTTTGCATTCTCCCACATAATGTTTGCACTTTTTGTTTCTATACATTAGAGTAGTTGGTCCACACTAAAATGGCCGTTGC